TCTCCTACAGCCAGTCATCACCGACTTCCTCCACGTTTTCTTCGTCCTCTCCTGCCGGCAGTGCAGCGGCAGTAACTCCCTACGTTGAAGTCCGCGCCCTCTGTCCCCTTTCACTTCCTTTCCCCGAAGGACCTCTTACGCACCGCCCTATTCAGAGGGGCTCAGGCGCGGTAGCACGGGCTCCTGAACTGCTTTAAGCACAGGGATGCAGTGGAACGTGCCCTTGTAGTTTGGCTGCATAGCAAAGTGGGATTCAGTAGAAGGGGATTCATGAGAGGGAGTCCTGCAGTGGAAAGTGGTCTTCCTGTAAACAGTTGCTCCTGCCCCTAGGGAATGTTGGACCACAGGAGTGGGTTTGAAGTACAATGTGTAGATCCTAATGGTCCCTCTTTATGGAAGCCGACACATGTAGCGGAGGGGCCCAGCAGGACAGGCGGGGAACAAGGAGGCTGATTTGAGCCTGTCACACCTGAAGACAGCTTGCAGCTGAGGAATGGGGCCCTAGGCATAATGTTCCTGTGGCTGTGCCCTTTGTTTCCTGTTCTGGGGCGACAGACTCCTTTATCTGACCAAAAAACGTTTCTGCCAGCCTACTTGTTTGTGTCTGCTTGAAACCCCATGATTCAGAAATCCAGGCCACGATTTCTCTCTCGTATGGAGGTAAAGAAAATTCGAGTTTTAGCTGGGCATGGTGGCGGGTGCCTGTAATCCCAGCTACTTGGGAAGCTGAGGCAGGAGAATTGCTTGAACTCGGGAGGCGGACATTGCAGTGAGTCGAGATCGTATCACTGCACTCAGCTTGGGCGAAGAAACGAAAGTCAGTCTCAAAAAAGAAAAGAAAAGAAAATTCAAATGTAGTGAGACAAGACTTGATCAAAGGCTGCAAGACTGGTTAGTACTTTGGGAGGCTGAGGCAGGTGGATCATCTTAGGTCAGGAGTTCGAGACCAGCCTGACCAACATGGAGAAACCTCGTCTCTGCTAAAAATGTAAAATTAGCTAGGTGTGGTGGTACATGCCTGTAATCCCAGCTACTCGGGAGGCTGAGGCAGGAGAATCGGTTGAACCCGTGAAGAGGAGGTTGCAGTGAGCCAAGATTGTGCCACTGCACTCCAGAATGGGCAACAGAGCGAAACTCCATTTCAAAAAAAAAAAAAAAAGACTGGTTAGTGACAGATGTTCAACAAGAACCAAGTTCTCCTTAGGAGCCCATTGCTTTCCCCACTATGTTAGTGTAGTTACCATTTGCTTAGTTGAACTCCATGCTCTCCCCTATTTGCCATCTCCCAGTCCTGGTCCTAGAGTTACTTTCTAGTTTGGCTCCTGAGAAAATTCAGCATTCCAGTTGATCTCTTCCTGTCCAACCCCAAAGGAGATCCAATGCTTAACTAATGGATCTGATTGCCCTACTTACGCTACCTTTGTTTATCTGGGTAGTTTCCAGTTTGGGGCAATTATGAACAATGTCACCGTGAGTAATCTTGTAAATGTCTTGTATACATATTTCTGTTGTATATGTAGAAGTGGAACTGCACCTTCATAAGGCATGCATGTATTCAATTTTAGTAGATGCTAACTACACCATTATTCTGCCTGGGGGAGCAGGCAGAATAATGGCTCCCCCAAAATGTCCTTGTCCTAATCCCTGGAACCTATGAGCATATTAGGTTACATAGCAAAAGGGAATTAAGTTTACAGAGGTTGCTAAGAGGTGGGCTTAACATAGGGAGAGCATTCTGGATTGTCCAGGTGGTCCCAAGTTAATCACAAGGGCCCTTAACAATGGGGAAGAGGGAGGCCAGAGAAGGAGAATGAGAGAAATAGTAGAACCAGACAACCAGAGAATAGTAGCTGTGGAAAGACTATGCGGGCCTGATCAATTCCTACTGTTTTTAAAGATGAAGGAAGGAGGCAATGAGCCAAGAATGTGGGCAACCTCTAGAAGTCGGAAAAGGCAAAGAAATGGATTTTCCCCTTTCCAGAAGGAACACACTCTGTTGACACTTTAATTTTAGCCTATTGGGACCTTTACAACTGTAAGATAATAAATTTTTGTTGTTTTAGCCACAAAATTTGTGATAATTTGTTATAGGAGCAACAGAAATCTCACACACTGCCAGTTTTCCAAAGTAATTTTATCAATTTATATACTTAAGGAGCTTTGAAAAAATATCCATACTTCAGCCCCATACCACAAACTGAACTGGAATCTCTGGATAGGAATAGGAAAATATTTCCTTAATTAGATCATTTCATTGCATCTTGAAGGTTGAGAATTGTTTATCTAAAGCCTTAAATATAAATCCAATACTTATCATTAAAGAAGAGTGTGGCAGTGATTTGGCCACACGATTAAAAGCTTTTCTAGAAAAGAGTGTTCCAGGTGCTTGAAGGATCTCCCATTTTTTGAGTTAACAGCTAACGTTTTGTACTGTCCCATGGTTGAACAATCAGTTCCTACTAACGCAATTCATAATGGAGCATTTACACTAAGCTCTCTCTTTGTTTTTACAAGAGATTTTTCTTTAATATGCTCAGAAAGTGGCTCTTTCAGAAGCTGGCCCACTTAACACCTTGGCCTTCGTGGAGAGTTTGGCTGTAGGAGCTGGTAGTGCCTACATTTCCTGAGAGAAGGGTGTCCTAGGAGGAGAGGATCTGCTTGGTTCATGGCCAGGCTCCTGTGTGCTGAGGCTGCAGCAGGCAGATGATCCTTGGGCCGTGGCTCTGGGGAAATTCTGAATAAAAAGGCGTTTTTTTACAGCTTCAGCAGGCTGGGGCTGCAAGAGGAGGCTCTGGGCACAGTGTCCTTCAACTTTCTTCTTTTGTTCAGCTGGTGATATTAAGAAGAAGGGTAACATTGCAGCCAGGGATCCTGGAGTCTGAGGAAAGAGCCTCCTTCTCCAAGTTTGCAGGACAGCTTCTTTGGTAGTGATACCACTAACTGCTGAGGTTCACACGGCAACAAATTTATAAATCCTGAGAATCCCTGGGCAGTTTCTGTCACAAAGATACTCATCAAAAAGAATGAAAGGTGATCTAATGTTGACACTAGTATTCATGTACCTTCCTGACAGTTGTGAAATATTATACTGTTTCCCTTTAAAATCAAAATATTCCATGGCGTGCTGAGATCCCTACAGTGCACCAGTGTGCCTTGGCACACGGTTTGGGAATCATGGCTGTGGTCATTTGGAAAATGATTCTCATTTATCCCTTGAATGAATATTCAAGATAATTATTACGTTCCAAAATGTTACTTCTGTAAGGTCCAATGAAATCTCACCCCTCCCATGCTGAAGAGCTCTCTCAAACAGGTATTGAGTCCCACAGGCCAGTCCAGATTCTGACTTGTTCTCACAGAGGACATATTAGGTACATCTAAAACTACCTCAGAAGGTGAGCAGTTTACATTTTTATTTTAAAATTTTATTTATAATTTTTTGAGATGAAGTCTCACTCTGTTGCCCAGGCTGGAATGCAGTGGTGCGATCTCAGCTCACTGTAAGCTCTGCCTCAGCCTCGCGAGTAGCTGAGATTACAGGCTCCCACCATCACACCTGGCTAATTTTTGTATTTTTAGTAGAGACCAGGTTTCACCAAGTGGGTCAGGCTGGTCTTGAACTTCTGAGCTCAAGTGATCTGCCCACCTCGGCCTCCCAAAGTGCTGAGATTATAGGTGTGAGCCACTGTGCTCAGCCAGTTTTTTTTTTTTTTTTTTAATTTTAAGAGAGTCTCATTCTGTCACCCAGGCTGGAATGCAGTGGTGCAATCTTGGCTCACTGCAACCTCCACCTCCCAGGTTCAAGCAATTCTCCTGACTCAACCTCTTAAGTAGCAGAGATTACAGGCGCTTGCCACCATGCCCAGCTAATTTTTGTATTTTTGATAGAGATGGGAGTTTCACCATGTTGGCCAGGCTGGTCTTGAACTCCTGATTCAAGTGCTCTGCCTGCCTCGGCGTCCCAAAGTGCTGGAATTACAGTTGTGAGCCATCACACCCAGCCCCTATTTTTAATTAAATAAGCTAGGAAGTATACTATTTGAAAAGTAGCTCATTAACTTAGAGATCAGCCTACCATTGGCAAAACACTGGCAGACACTATTAAATACTAGGAAAATTTAAAAAGCATACTACAGACTATTGCACACTTACAAGAATTCTCAACGACCTTCCCACTCCTCAACATTTCATATCTGATTTTAATACTCTCAGTTAATCAAATACATAAGTTAGATTCAAATTTTAGAAAACAACTTTACCTGGATTGCTAAGGGGGTCAGAGTATCGAAAAAATTCTAGAAACAGACTGTTAACTATGGATATAAATATTCTAAGTAAGAACACAAGTTTCTGATCCCTATATTGCTTAAAATACAGTTCAAAAAAAAAACGGCTGGGGACGGTGGCTCACGCCTGTAATCCCAGCACTTTGGGAGGCCGAGGTGGGCGGATCATGAGGTCAGGAGATGGAGACCATCCTGGCCAACATGGTGGTGAAACCCCGTCTCTATTAAAAAAAAAAAAAAAAAAGTCCAGGCATGGTGGCTCACGCCTGTAATCCAAGCACTTTGGAGGCCAAGGCGGGCAGATCACCTGAGGTCGGGAGTTCAAGACCAGCCTGACCAACTGGTGAAACCCTGTCTTTATAAAAGAAAAAAGAAAAAAAAAAATCTTGGAGTATGTTTGAATTCAAAATTTTTAAAAATACAGTTAATGAAAATGTAATTAGATAATTATTACAAGAAATAATTCGGACTAAACCATAAGTAATGTATAGAATAAGATTATTTTTAAAAGTTAAATGCCATCTGGGCGTGGTGGCTCATGCCTGTAATCTAAGCACTTTGGAGACCAAGACAGACCTGAGGTTGGGAGTTAAAGACCAGCCTGACCAACATGGTGAAACCTCATCTTTGAAAAAATAAAAAAAATTAAAAAATAAATAAAATGTTAAAAAAGTTAAATGCCAAACATAGATTTATGTGAAATTTTTCCACTGTATTTTATTCATAATTTAGCTATATCCAAAATGCTGGAGGAAATATTCATATCTGCTGAGTTCTTGGCAGCAATGAAGAGGCAGAATGGCTTTATTAATTAACCTTTCCAGTCTCACAATCAGAAGCAATCTTTGATTTGTTAGATATTTCATAAACTTGAATAATAAGCTTTAGCTGATTGATGATTTCCTTGTCTGCTGTTTTTATGTCAAATCCCAACATCTTCATAATAGTTTCTTGAAAGTTGCTGAGCTACAAACAACCATCACAGAAATCGAGATATATTAGTAATTTGGGTCACCCACTTATTATGTACAAAGAATTGGTATTAGAAATTTAGTCTTATTCAACATTATTAAATGTAATATAGTCTACTTTCAAACAGTATGTTTAAGCTAGGAACTGATCTATTACAATAACTCTATTTAAAATTTCCTTTGCATTTAAATTTTTTTTCTTGCTTTTACACTTTTGTAAACTTAATTTTATTGCTGCTTATTTTGTTATTTTTCATTCATAAGGTAATTACTTTTTGGACTTCTGATTTGCTGAATGAGAATACCAGTCCCCTAAACACACATTTCTCTACCCATCCTCCAAAAACCATAGTGATCAATGTGGAGATTACATAAAAACTACCTGTAAATTGTGCCTAAAGCAAACCTAGAGAATAGCACAAACTTCAAGTGGGGAAATGAATATTCTAACCCAGCAGAGGCAGCTTCCAAGGAAGGTGCAGCTAATTTCCACTGGTGTAGAAAGCAGACATTACCCCCGGAAACAAGACAGTTCATAAATGGCAAAATAACGAGAACAAATCTGAGATCTGGTGGATCAGAACACTGACAAGTGGGGAAGGAAAAGCAAGGGGCTTGAAAGCACACAAGACCAAAAATGGTAGTTGCAGAGGGCAAGGTTTCTGATGGGAGAGGGTGGTAGTTGGGTGAGGTGTTCCTTGGAAGCTTGGTAATAAAGGAAAAGAGAAAAGCAAACAGTGGAAATTAAGAAGTTTATACAAATGAGAGTATTACAGAATCAGACATCACAAACCCTCATTCACAAAATAAAAGGCTTGATCGAGTAAACTTTAGAAACTGCACTCACTGTGCCAACAGAAGCCGGTGGTATTGAGCTAAGGAACCTAGTGAGTAAGTCCTGCCTCCAGTTACTCTAAAGTAGAAACGTCTGAAGACTAGAGAATTCAAGGAATTTCAAAGTGAATACAGATAAATGGCAAATGATATTCATATAAAATTACTTTAAGAAGAAAATAGAAGCTGGGCACGGTGGCTCACGCCTGCAATCCCAGCACCTTGGGAGGCCGAGGCAGGAGGATCACGAGGTCAAGAGATCAAGACCATCCTGGCCAACATGGTGAAATCCCGTCTGTACTAAAAAAATACAAAAATAAGCCGGGCACGGTGGCAGGTGCCTGTAGTCCCAGCTACTCAGGAGGCTGAAGTAGGAGAATTGCTTGAACCCAGAAGGCAGAGGCTGCAGTGAGCAGAGATCACGCCACTGCACTCCAGCCTGGGCGATAACAGCAAAAATCCATCTCAAAAAATAAAAAAGACAACCATGAAACACAGAACACATGTTTGACACAACACCCTGAAAAAAATTAAATACAAATAAAATTTGCAAAATGGTGGGGAGGGGGGGACTTTATTTTGAATCAGAAATGTAATAATTCAGCATAGAAATAAACAAAAAGATGTCCAGGATATCTAGATGTAAGGCTGGGATTACGGCTATAATCCCAGCACTTTGGGAGGCCAAGGTGGGCGGATTGCCTGAGGTCAGGAGTTCGAGACCAACCTGGCCAACATGGTGAAACCCCATCTCTAAAAAAAAAAAGAAAGAAAGAAAAAGATATCTAGATGTGAGACTTGAACTCAGGCAAGAAAACACAAAATCATCTAAAAAGTGAAGAGTGAACTACAAGGTAGCCAAAGGAAAACAGATATGACTGAAAATAAAATAGGGAGCTGGACACAGTGGCTCACACCTGTATTCCCAGCACTTTGGGAAGCCAAGGCAGGAGAATTGCTTGAGTGCAAGAGTTTGAGACTAGCCTGGGAAACATGGTGAAACCCTATCTTTACAAAACATACAAAAATTAGTCAGGTGTGGTGGTGGCAAACATGTAGCCCCAGCTATTTGGAAGGCTCAGGTGAGCGGATTGCTTTAGCTCAGGACGTTGAGGCTGTGGTGAGCCATGAGCATGCTACTGCATTCCAGACTGGGCAACAGAATGAAACTCTGTCTCAAAAAATAAAAGAAATAGAAACAATCAAGAAAGTGAACAAGCAGAAGTTAAAGAGAGAAAAAAGAGAAAATGCTAATATCATACTTAATGTTTTAAGCATATCTTAAGGTATAAGTTTCCTAAGCAACTAATATATGGAGATGTGACATATAATAACTTTAAAATTTTTCCAAATGATCAATTAGCCTTTTAAAAATTCTCTCAAAATATTTACAAGCATAGTGAAAATCTAAGCAAGTTTAGAAGCACTACTCTATTTTGATAGACAGTGACACAGAAAGTAACATACAAGGTTTCCGCTGAATTTCACATGATGACACACGATCTCATAGACCTATACCCTCCTGGTCACTAGTCAGAGTATATAAAATAATCATATATCCCATCCGTAGCCACTGTGGGTTTAGCAGGGATAAGCACTTGACCTAAACTGGGCCAATTAGACCCTTTCTTGGGATTCTCTGTCCTGTCACAGGAACTACATATAAAACTCCATGGTTGTCAGTGGCCATGTTTCCTCTCATGGAGAAAACCAACCTGCAGTCAGACAGATGAGCTGATACATAGATGCCAAGAAGTAAATATGAGAAAGGGCTTGTAGGTTCCAGGTGCTAATCCTGGAGCCCAGGTACATATTCACTCTCCTGGAGTCAAAGTTTAACTCATTTTTGATTCCATAAGCCGATATTCCCTTTTGTCTAAGTTAGTTACAGTCTAAGTAGGGGTGGTGTTTATCACTTTAACTAAATTAATTTTAATTTTATTATTTTACAAAAACCTCTTGTTCTTGTCCTGATATTTCTTCAGGTGTGCTCTTTGCTGTGGGAGGCTCAGAAGTGATAGCATCTAACATCTGCTGGGTCTTCTCTTTGTCTGATCTTGCCTCTTGCTCTGCAGAGTCTAATGTAGTTTTCAAGTTTTCTGTTTTCACAACTGCCTTCTCTTTCATTGTTTCAACATTTGCTAAAGATTGCCTGAGGTTTTCAATTGTTTTGTCCTGACAGCATATAAGATGGGGAAAAGGAAGGAGATAACTATGATTAGATCTCTTCTAAATAACAGTTATGGTAACTCATGCTTCTTTTCCTTTTCTTTATTTTTTTATGAAGAGAGAGCGATATGGAAAAGAAAAACATTCCACAGTTTCTTAATTAAGAGGACATTTCTTCACCATCGTGCTCATCAATAACTAACTTAGCACTTTTATTAACTGGCCACTTGGGATTTAAAGAGTCTTAACATGTTTATTGCATCCTATCCTCAATGGTCTTAAATCCCTACATTAATCAAGTACAGAAATACAGAAAATAAGTGGCATTTCAGTAAGAGAAATGTTGCTGATAAACTGCTGTATCCGTTGATCAGTTATTTAGTGCCTGTTTGGCTTAAGGCATACTTTTTGAAATAGTATAACTGAAGCTTGATATGGAGAAGGTCCAAACAAGAGCCCCTAAAATGACTACAACTTTTAACTATTACCCCAATAAGAGACACCAGTAAAACTACAATAAAAAACGGGCTGGGTGTGGTGGCTTATGCCTCAGCACTTTGGGAGGCTGAGGCAGGCAGATCACTTGGGGTCGGGGGTTCGAGACCAGCCTGGCCAACATGGTGAAACCCTGTGTCTACTAAAAATACAAAAATTAGCTGGGCATGGTGGTGTGTACCTGTAGTCCCAGCTACTCGGGAGGCTGAGGTGGGAGGATTGCTTGAACCTGGAGGGCAGAGGTTGCAGTGAGCCAACATTGTGCCACGGCACTCCAGTCTAGGTGACAGAGGGAGACTCAATCTCAAAAAGAATAATAATAAAACAAAAAACAAGGGATTTGTAATTATAACCCTTAGAATACCAATTATCATTGAGGAATAAGGAGGAAGATATATGGATATATGGGGGTTTCAATTGTATTGGTAATATTTGTTTCTTAAAATGAGTGGTAGATTCCAATTTTACTCTCTATGCTTTAATAATATATATATTCTTTTGTATGTACATAAAATACTTTTATTTTTTTGACTGCAATGAAAAGCATGCTGCTAATATGGTAAAAAACCAAAGCTTAAGTGAATTTCTGAAAGCCTCTCTTCCTTCACTTACTTTAAGGACATTTACTCTTATCAGCTGGGTTTCCATATTTTTATTTGACAATTTCAAATCACTGAGCTGCTTCTGAAGTTTCTGAACTTTCTTCTTCAATCTTTGTGTCGTAGCAATCTGCAAATTCTTCTGAATATTCAATAACATTTGTTGCATGTTGTCTTTCTCTTGCTTTTTGAAATTCTTATGCTTGTCTCTCTGGGAATGCTTAGTCTCTGAGTGTTCCTTTGCAGAAATCAACAGTATTAAAATAAAAATTTGTGTTTTAAGATGTTATTCTATACTAGCATTATACCACATCCACTCCAGACTAACACACTGCAGGCTTAACAATACTTCCATAAGTAAAATATTTTTATGCATTATTTATGCAAATTATTATAAAATATTTTATGCATTATTAAAATAATCAGGAAAATAAAATATGACAATAAAAGTGATGACTCAGGACTACCAAGAGTACAATAAATAGATTTTATAAGCACCAAGCAGTAGCATAGATTAGTTCAACTTTTCTAGGAATGTATTATAAGGAAATAATCAAGTTGTGCCTGCAGCAACCTCGGTTCGGATCCGAGTCAGGGCACTAAAAAAAAAAAGAAAGAACCAAATTGTGGATAAAGATTCACACACAAAGATTTTTAAATGTATTGTTTAAGTTAGGGTCTTGCTCTGTCGCCCATGCTGGAATTCAGTGGCATGATCACCACTCACTGCAGGCTCAACTTCCCAGGCTCAAGAGATCCTCCCACCTCAGCCTCTGGAGTAGCTGGGACTACAGGATGTGTACACTCAGCTGTGTTTTTTTATTTTCCTCAAACTCCTGGGCTCAAGTGATCTTCCCGCCTTGCCCACCCAAAGTGCTGGTATTACAGGCGTGAGCCACCTCACCTAGCCATCTGAAAAAAGATATTCAGATATCCTTTTTTTTTTTTGAGAGGGAGTTTTGCTCTTGTGGCCCAGGCTGGAGTGCAATGGCACAACCATGGCTCACAGCAACCTCTGCCTCCCAGGTTCAAGTGATTCCCCAGCCTCAGCCTCCCAAGTACCCAGAATTACTGGCACTCAGCACCATGCCCAGCTAATTTTTGCATTTTTAGTAGAGACAGTGTTTCACCATGTTCACCAGGCTGGTCTCTAACTCCTGACCGCAGATGATCCACCCACCTCGGCCTCCCAAAGTGCTGAGATTACAGGCATGAGCCACTGTACCTGGTCACAAAGATAGTCTTTTTTTTTTTTTTCCTTTTTTCCCTAGATAACTTCAGGACACAAAGATATTCTTTACAACATTATTTATAACAGAAAAAAATGAAGCAATGCAAATATCAAAAAAGAAAAATTGCCGGGCGTGGTGGCTCAAGCCTGTAATCCCAGCACTTTGGGAGGCTGAGACAGGTGGATCACAAGGTCGAGAGATCGAGACCATCCTGGTCAACATGGTGAAACCCCGTCTCTACTAAAAATACAAAAAAATTAGCTGGGCATGGTGGCGCGGGCCTGTAATCCCAGCTACTCGGGAGGCTGAGGCAGGAGAATTGCCTGAACCCAGGAGGCGGAGGTTGCGGTGAGCCGAGATTGCACCATTGCACTCCAGCCTGGGTAACAAACAAGAGCGAAACTCCGTCTCAAAAAAAAAAAAAAAAGAAAAAAGAAAAATTATGTATGATAGATTATTCCCTAGAAATTAAGTTTCATAAATATTTATTAAGAAAAAATGATAATGATATAGTTAATGAAAAAAGCAGGATTGGCTGGGCATGGTGGCTCACACCTGTAATCCAAGCACTTTGGAGGCCAAGGCGGGTGGATTACCTGAGGGCAGGAGTTCAAGACCAGCCTGACCAACATGGTGTAATCCCATCTTTAAAAAAAAAAAAAGAAAAGAAAAAAGCAGGATTAAGAAAAACTATGCATATCTCACTTGTGATAAAACTATGCATGGAAAATAATCAGGGAAATATACCTATATTAAATACTAGTTATCACAAAATGGTGGGATTACTGGTGATTTCAATTTTATTTCTATTATTTTCTACTTTACAAATCTTCACTAATACACCTGATTTTTTATTTTTTGGGACAGGGTCTCACTCTGTCACCCAGGCTGGAGTGCAGTGATGCAATCACGGCACATTGCAGCCTTGATCTCCCATGCCCAAGCCATCCTCCCACCTCAGCCTTCTCAGTAGCTGGGACTACAGGTGTGCACCATGCCTGGCTAGTTCTTGAATCTTTTGTAGAGATGAGATGTCGCCATGTTGTCCAGGCTGATCTCAAATTCCTGGGCTCCAGCTATCCACCTACCTCAGCCTTCCTAAGTACTAGAATTACAGATATGAGCCACTATGCCCAGCTGAATTAATCTTATTATGAGACAAAAATTAGTTATCTCAAATATTATTACAAAAAAGTTATGATAAATGTTTTAATCCATTAAAAGAAATAAAACAACAAATTAAGGAAGAAGAACCAGAATGGCACCATCCTTCTCAATAACAACCCTAGAGACTAGAAGACAATGGAGTCCGCGTGTGAAAATAAAGTCTAAACCCAGCTATCAATTGAGTATGATAATTCAAAAAAAGACTTTGTTATTCACACAACAACCCCAAAAAATGTCACTCTCCAAGGCACCATGTCTTAGGAAGCCATTGGAGGATATGTTCCAGCAAAATAAGAAAGGACACCAAAAAAGAGGAAGAAATGTGATTCAGCAAACAATGAAACCAAACCAGGAGATTAGAGAAGGAAAGTCACAGGATCAAAGCTGTGCCCAGGCCCACAGAGCAAAATCCAGACTGAAGCGAGGGAATGAAGGACTTTGGGAGAAAAAAAATGGGAGATTTTTACAGTCTAAAGGATCATCTGATACAGATTTGAGCAGAAAAAAAAAACCTTAATAAACGAATGCTGAAAAATAAATGTATAAAAATATAAGGAAGGGATTAACTGTAGGAAAAATAAAATGCAATATAAGAAAGAAAATGTACCAAGCATATAGTACTTCACGCTTTTGTATCCATTTACTATAATGGTAAATTAAATGCTGATTATGGATTCAGCTTAAAATATTAAATTAACCATATTGGGAAGATGAAAGGAGCTGGTAGCAAAATGATATAAAAGATGAAACTTCGCCAGGCTTGGTGGCTCATGCCTGTAATCCCAGCTACTCAGGAAGCTGAGGTAGGAGAATGGTTTGAACCTGGGAGGCGGAGGTTGCAATGAGCCAAGATAGTGCCACTGCACTCCAGCCTGAGCAAGACAGCATGACTCTGTCTCAAAAAAAAAAAAGAAAAAAAAAAAATCTAAATAACTTCAGCTCAAAAAATGGAAATCAACACTAAAATTACAAGCATACATAGAACATGGTGAAAAGAAATATTTCTTATAAAAATCTACTGGACAAGCAACAGAGGAATATTTAATAGTATTTACTCCTTTTCTGATTTAAAAACAAAAGACCAAAAAAAGCACGTTAACTGGCCGGGCGCAGTGCCTCATGCCTATAATCCTAGCACTTTGGGAGGCTGAGGTGGGTGGATCACCTGAGGTCAGGAGTTCAAGACCAGCCTGGCTGTCGTGGTGAAACCCTTGTCTAAAAAAAAAAAAAAAAAAAAGCACATTAACTTAAGAAGGGAATAGACAAAGTAGGGTGCAGATTTAATAAAGATACTATATATACTCATTATATATAAACAAAAAAAAACTAGTAAAATGCATATTTATTTATTTTTGAGACAGAGTTTTGCTCTGCTGCCCAGGCTGGAGCACAGTGGCACAATCTCGGCTCACCGCAACCTCAACCTCCCCAGTTTGATTCTCTTGCCTCAGCCTCCCAAGTAGCTGGGATTCGAGGTGCATACCACTTTGCCCAGCTAACTTTTGTAGTTTTAGTAGAAATGGGGTTTCACAATGTTGGTCAGGCTGATCTTGAATTCCTGATCTCAAGTGATCCACCCATCTCGACCTCTCAAAGTGCCGGGATTACAGGCATGAGCCACCATGCCCGGCCATAAAATGTATATTTTAAAAAAAAGAACTGGACAGGCATGGTGGCTATGCCTGTAATACTAGAACTTTGGGAGGCTGAGGTGGGAGAATCGCTTGAGCTCAGCAGTTGAGACCAGCCCAGGCAACATGGTGAAGTCCCATCTCTACAAAAACTTCAAAAAACTAGTCAGGTATAGAGGCATGCACCTGTAGTTCCAGCTATCTGGGAGGCTGAGACAGGAGGATCCCTTGAGTCCTGAAGGTTGAGGCTTCAGTGAGCTGTAATCATGCCACTGCACTCCAGCCTGGATAACAGGCAGAGCAAGACCCTGTCTCAAAAAGAACCACTGGTTCTTTGGAAAGATAACATAGATGACTCAGGCAAGCCTGGTTAAAAAGGAAAGAGAGAAAGTGAAAATACACAATATTAGAAGGGAGGAATATATAGAATGTATAGATATGCAAAGATAATGCATTCAGAATGCAAAGATGAAAATAATTCTAAGAGAACATTTTGAAATTTAGTGGTAATAAATTGAAAATCTAAAAGAAATATAGGCTGTAATTCCAGCACTTTGGGAGGCAGAGATGGGCAGATCATTTGAGGCACATGGAGTTCGAGACCAGCCTGGGCAACATGGAAAGACCCTGTCTCTAAAAAACTACAAAAATTAGCTAGACATAGTGGCATGCACCTGTGGTTCCAGCTACTCAGAAGGCTGAGGCAAGAGGATCATTTGAGCCTCAGAAGGTTGAGGCTGCAGTGTACCATGATGGTAACACTGCATTCCAGCCTGGGAAACAGAGTAAGACTGTCTCAAGAAAAAAAAAAGCAGTTTTCCCATAAACTAGTCCAAAGTGTTCCACCTTTAAAATAAAATTATTTATAAAATAAATAAATGAAAAATTAAAAATACATTATTTCCTAGGAAACAATTTAACAATATACAATGAAATCCAGAAAACCCAAGAACTCTAGTAAAGAAAACTACTGGGCTGGGCACGATGGCTTATGCCTGTAATCTCAGCACTTTGGGAAGCTGAGGTGGGTGGATCACCTGAGGTCAGGAGTTTAGACAAGCCTAGCCAACATGGTGAAACTGCATCTCTACTAAAAATACAAATATTAGCTGGGTGTGGTGCCTGTAATCCCAGCTATTCAGGAGGCTGAGGCTGAAGAATCACTTGAACCTAGGAGGCGGAGGTTGCAGTGAGCCAAGATCATGCCACTGCACTCCAGCCTAGGCAACAAAAGCGAAACTCCATCTCGAAAAAAAAAAAAGAAAGAAAGAAAGAAGAGAAAAGAAAACTGAGTGCTCAATAAATATTAGATAAATAAATGGATGAATGAGCCAAAAGACTAAATGAAGGCGGGGCGTGGTGGCTCACATCTGTAATCTCAGCCCTGATTTGGGAGGCCAAGTCGGGCATATCACAAGGTCAAGAGCTTGAGACCATCCTGGCCAACACGGTGAAAACCCATCTCTATTAAAAATACAAAAATTAGCTGGGTGTGATGGGTACACCTGTAGTCCCAGCTACTTGGGAGGCTGAGGCAGGAGAATCGCTTGAACCCAGGAGGCTGAGGTTCCAGTGAGCTGAGATCGCACCACTGCACACCAGCCTGGCGACAGAGGGAGACTCCATCTCAAAAATAAATAAATAAATAAAATAAAATCAGAAGCTTTCAGAGTTTGTAGCAAACTTCCCCCCTTTCCCAATATGAAGAAAAGTATTAATAGTATTAACAGCTTCAAATATTAAAGTTAGTTATTAATAAAATAAAATGCAATAATTTTCATTATCAAAGGAATGCTTATACTTCAGTAAATTCTTACTTTCTTTCTGTCCAAGTCTAATCTCTCTTGAAAAAAGTCATTGATCGAAATTTTTCTTTCCTGACATTTAAAGGGTCTTTTTTGTTCTCAATACTTTTCTTCAGCTTGGGATGATTCTTGAGCACCTTCCTCATAAAGATGATGCAGCTGCTCTAGTTGTTTAGTGAGCATCTGGATTTCCTGCTGAAGCCCTTTGGTTCTCTGCAAGGAAAAAACATTAAAAACTCCCTCATGCTCCATGCTTGCTTGCTTGCTTGCTTGTCACCCAGGCTGGAGTGCAGTGGCGTGATCTCGGCTCACTGCAACCTCTGCCTCCTAGGTTGAAGCAATTCTCTGCCTCAGCCTCCTGAGTAGCTGGGATAACAGGTGTCCACCACCATGCCCGGTTAATTTTTATATTTTTAGTAGAGATGGGCTTTCACCATCTTGGCCAGGCTGGTTTTGAACTCCTGACCTTGTGATCCACCTGCTTTGGCCTCCCAAAGTGCTGGGATTACAGGCGTCAGCCACCGCTCCCGGCCCTTTCTATTTTTTTGAAACAGAGTTTCACTCTGTCACGCAGGCTGGATTGCAGGGGCGCAATGTCGGCTCCCTGCAACCTTTGACTCCCAGGTTCAAAGAATTCTCCTGTCTCAGCCTCCCAAGTAGCTGGGACTACAGGCATATGTCACCACGCCAGGCTAATTTTTGCATTTTGAGTAGAGACGAGATTTCGCTGTATTGGTCAAGCTGGTCTGGAACTCCTGAACTCAGGTGATCCACCCACCTCCACCTCCTAAACTGCTGGGATTACAGGTGTGAGCCTCTGCACCCAGCCTCCATGCTTTCTATGTAGTTTCAAAACTATGTGCAAGTTTTATTTATATTCACATTAGAGTGGCATTAAGTAACTAAGTAGATGAATACAGATGATTTTAGGATTTGACATGTATACATTGGTTTAAAAATAAATAGGGCTCACAGCTGTAATCCCAGCACTTTGGGAGGCTGAAAAGGGGGTGGATCACCTGAGGTAGGGAGTTTGGAACCAGCTTGGAGAAACCCCATCTCTACTACAAAATACAAAATTAGCCGGGATGGTGACGCATGTCTATAATCCAGCTACTCGGGAGGCTGAGGCAGGAGAATCACTTGAACCTGGGAGGCAGAGGTTGCAGTGAGCTGAGATCACACCATTGCACTCCAGCCTGGGCAACAAGAGCAAAACTCCATCTCAAAATAAATAAAGAGAAAGCTTTGATATATAAAAATAAGACATTTTCGTTAGTACTGAGAAATAAAGCTGTATAATGAATTTAAGAGAGCAGAGTATTAAAAAGATGTGGAACTCTAAACAAGCTACTGTGTAGCAGGTTTCACCAACACACTGGATCTAAGCTATATACAGGTGACCCTAGTGTCCATGGGAGATCAGTGTCAGAACCTCCTAGAGATACCAAAATTCATGAATATTCAAGTTCTTGATACAAGATGGCATAGTGCTTGTGTATAACCTGTGTACATCCTCCTGTATACTTTAAATCATCTCAAGATTTTTATAATACCTAATATAATGCAAATGCTATATAAATAATTGTACTCTGTTGTTTAGGGAATAATGAAAAGGAAGAAAGTCTATACACGTTCAGTACAGATGCAGTTTTTTTTTCAGACAGTCTTGCTTTATTGCCCAGGCAGTGGCGAGATGCTGGCTCATTGCAACCTCCACCTCCCGGGCTTAGCAATTCTCATGCCTCAGCCTCCCAAGTAACTCCCAAGTTACATGCCACCATGCCCAGCTCATTTTTGTATTTTTAGTAGAGATGAGTTTTTGCCACGTTGGCCAGGCTGGTCTTGAACTCCTGGCCTCAAGTGATCCACTTGCCTCAGCCTCCCAAAGTGCTGGGACTACAGATGTAAGCCACATACCTGGCTGTGATGTAATATTTTAGACAAATATTTTTTATTACTGGTTGGTTGAATCCATAGATATGGAGGGCTAACTGTACCTATTACCATTTGAATTTTAGGGTGAGGAGTCATGAAATATACTAAAATGATTTGGACACAGGCTGGGCATGGTGGCTCAAGCCTGTAATCCCAGCACTTTGGGAGGCCGAGGCAGGCAGATCATGAGGTGAAGAGATGGAGATCATCCTGGCCAAGATGGTAAAATCTCGTCTCTACTAAAAATACAGAAAATTAGCTGGGTGTGGTGGTGCATGCCTGCATCCCAGCTACTCGGAAGGCTGAGGCAGGAGGATCACTTGAGGTGGAGGTTGCAGTGAGTCGAGATCACGCCACTACACTCCAGCCTGGCAAAAATGATTGGACACAAACAAGGAGATATAGCCACTTAACCTGCTTATTCAATCATATGATAGACTTGACCAGTAAATGAAAATAAACTGGCAATTTTACTGCAATGACTGAAGTGACCAGTGCTAGGTTATCATGTAAACACTATCTTTACCATACCACTATTTTATTTATTTATTTATCTATCTATCTATTTATTTATTTATTTTTGAGATGGAGTCTTGCTGTGTCACCAGGCTGGAGTGTAGTGGCACAATCTCGGCTCACTGCAACCTCTGCCTCCTGGGTTCAAGCGATTCTTCCACCTCAGCCTCCCGAGTACCTGGTCCTACAGACGTGTGCCACCACACCCAGCTAATTTTTGTATTTTTTAGTAGGGATGGGGTTTCATCATTTTGGCCAGACTGGTCTTGAACTCCTGACCTCGTGATCCGCCCACCTCGGCCTCCCAAAGTGCTGGGATTACAGGCGTGAGCCACCATGCCTGCCCAATACCACTATTTTAATATTTATTGAGCTTATATTAAATCAAGCATTTATCATGTATTAACCCATTTAGTCTTTGTAACCACTCTGTGAAGTGGGAACTACACACTGTCCCCCACTTCACAAATGAAAATGAGGCATAGAGAGGATAAGGAATCTGCCCAAGAGCACACAGCTGACAAATGGCAGAGCTGGGCTTCATGCTGGGGCTCTGCACTCTTAATAAATATGTTAGGCTACCTCCAATATAATAATGAACAGCCTCTTCTCTTCTTTCACGGTAATAGTAAAAATAGAATTATAACTAATTCAGAGCCGCAGAGTTTCCTAAATTGACTAATATTAAAATCTACATCATAAGAGAGTCAAAATTCTAGGCCAGGCACAGTGGCTCATGACTGTAATCTCAGCACTTTTGGAGGCCAAGGTGGGTGGATCACGAGGTCAGGAGTTCAAGACCAGCCTGGCCAAAATGATGAAACCCGATCTCTACTAAAAATACAAAAAAAGTTAGCCGGTCACGGTAGCGGGCACCTCTAATCCCAGCTACTTGGGAGGTTGAGGCAGGAGAATCGCTTGAATCCAGGAGGAAGAGGTTGCAGTGAGCTGAGATCATGCCATTGCACTCTAGACTGGGCGACAGAGTGAGACTCTGTCTCAAAAAAAAGAATCAAATTGGAAAGAATAACTTTTATATCTATTTATATACTTACAGCTTTCCAAGATTTCTCATTTGCACCAATTTCCTGAATCCTGTTTTCCACAGCCTCCTCTGTGGCTGGTATGGAGACAATGCTGTCACTCAGAAGAGTAGCCAACTGACCAAGGAAATTCTGATACTGGGACTGCACAGTTTTAGTTTCCCAGCTGAATGAATATGGAGGTCTGTCTGACTCAGATGCTTGTTTTTCTTTATAGTTCAAATCTTGTTGACATTTATCCCAAATTTTCTGATCATTTTTTTTTTTTCGGTCCTTCAGAGTGAAAAGTGTTGTCTCTCTCAAAGTTCTTGGCCAGGATAGCTTCACTCTTATCCTAAATAAGCCAATATACAGGTTAAACTTCCCATTTGAAATTTAATATGGATACATCTATTTCTCTCTCTTTTTTTTTTTTTTTTTTTTTTTTGAGACAGAGTCTTGCGCTGTTGCCCAGGCTGGGGTCCAGTGGCACAATCTCAGCTCACTGCAACCTCTGCCTCCCGGGTTCAAGTGATTTCTCCTAACTCAGCCTCTTGAGTAACTGGGATTACAGTCGTGTGCCACCATACCCAGTTAATTTTTTTGCATTTTTAGTAGAGACAGGGTTTCACTGTGTTAGCCAGAATGGTCTCAATCTCCTGACCTAGTGATCCACCTGCCTCAGCCTCCCAAAGTGCTGGGATTACAGGTGTGAGCCACTAAGCCTGGCCTATTTCCCTGCTTTTGAAATATAAAGTTATGGCACAAAACTTCAGGAGAAAAGACCCTCAATAGAAAGAGTTAGTCACGGCCAGGTGCAGTGGCATGTCTGTAATCACAGTACTTTGGGGCTGCGGCGGGTGGATCGCCTAAGGTTAGGAGTTCGAGACCAGCCTGGACAACATGGTGAAACCCTGTCTCTACTAAAAACATAAAAATTAGCTGGGCGTGGTGGCGGGTGCCTATAATCCCAGGTACTTGGGAGGCTGAGGCAGGAGAATCACTTGAACCCAGGAGACAGAGGTTGCAATGAGCCGAGATCACTCCACTGCACTCCAACCTCGGCAATAGAGCAAGACTTAATCTCAAAGAAAACAAAACAAAACAAAAAACCAGAAATACTTCTAGTCTGCCATGCTGTACTGCTTCCCTTGATCCTCCTTTAAGAAGACCAACAAAGTACTGAACATTTACCAATTATCTCCTGGAAAAACCCAAGGTAATAAAAATCATGTTTCTTCAAAAAGCAATCAAAATTTGTCCTTACCTTCACCATGAAAGTATCCAAGGAATCTTCTTGTCCACTCATATGAATATAAGGGGTGAAACTCTTAGTGCCTGAGAACAACTCCTCCAAAAAGTCTGCTTTTTTCTCTGCCTTTTCTCTTTCAACCAGATGTGTTCTGTGTAAGCTACAGGTAGGTATCAATATTACGAAACCAACTCAACCAATTTTCAAATTTCAACTTAAAATAACAAAAAGAGCCAACAATGCCAATATGGTGCATTGAGCGAGTCCTATGCAGAGTTCAAAGCTGCTGCTATGGCTTCCAGTGGGGTCCCCATCAGCACTGCCAGCTGGGCAAATGAAGCTCCCAAAATTCCAGACAACGTGGCAGATTGACTTCAGGGAATCTACTGCTTTGCCATCCATAGCAATGATTTCTGGAGGAACCTGATCCCTAATTTGGGACTCTGCTTTTAGAGTTTGGCTGGCCAGGAACTTCAGTAACATTGACCTCATGGTGTTAGAGGAAACTCTGCTTACCAGACTTCTGGTTCGGTAAAACGGGACCAGAGTCACTCTATCTTGAAGTGACTAGCTAGGCACTCGCAAGGCCTCTATAAGGTTAATGCTTGTCTGAAACTAGCCACATCCCAAGCTGACCACCAATTATAATTACAGAACATTTGTGGCCATACAGAGCATCTTCCACCAATCCTGCAGAATGTCCAGATGTCCTAAGAATGTGCAGCCCACTTTATTAAAGATACTGTTAATGAGGAGGCACAGGTTGAAAAATTAATGGTCATCTAAAATACCAATAGCCTCTACCTTTAGTAAGCACATCTGCATGTTCCAAATTTAATTACAGCTTCTTGTAAGTTTCTTATAGACACTAACAAGGATGGCATGTTCCTCCTCCTGCTTTCCAAGGATTCTCTACTCTGTAACGTTGTAGTTTCCAATAAACTTGCTTTTTTTCTCTGGGCTCTGTGACTCCCCTTGAATTCTTTCCTGTGCAAGATCCACTAACCTGCTCTTGGGGTCTGGATTAGGACCCTCTTTTCTGGCAACAGTGTATCTCAGCCAGGGGTGTAGCCAAGTAGACAAATGGAATCCTGTGCTGTACCCAAACCTTGCAAAGACAGAGCCTACAAATACCATGCCCAGTCATAAAAAAAATATATATCCCTAAAACATATTTATGAAGAGAGCTGTGCAGTTACCCAAGTGTTTCTAGAGAGATCAGAAATCATAGAGGAATGGGCCAGGTGCAGTGGCTCATACCTGTAATCCCAGTACTTTGGGAGGCTCAGGCCAGTGGAACACTTGAGCCCAGGAGTTAGAGACGAACCTGGGCAACACAGTAAGACCCTGTCTCAAAAAGAAATGGCAGGCCAGGCACGGTGGCTCATGCCAGTAATCCCAGCACTTTAGGAGGCCGAGATGGGCAGATCACCTGAGGTCAGGAGTTCAAGATCAGCCTGACCAACATAAAGAAACCCTATCTCTACTAAAAATACAAAATGGGCCTGGCATGGTGGTGTATGCCTATAATCCCAGCTACTCAGGAGGCTGAGGCAAGAGAATTGCTTGAACCCAGAGGCGGAGGTTGTGGTGAGCTAAGATCACGCCATTGCACTCCAGCCTGGGCAATAAGAGCAAAACTCTGTCTCAAAAACAAAACAAAACAAAGCAAAACAAAGAAATGGTAGGGAAATGAAGAGAAAAACAATCCAGTGTCAAGTCCGGTAGTATTTCTCATGGGGGAGATCAATTTTGAAGCCATTCTTTTTAAGGTGAAATTTGGATGTGAATAGCTTGCCTGCCACTACTGGCAATATTGTGATAATCAGTAGGGTCTGTCAGAAGCATTAAAACCAGAGTAGTTCCATCTTGAATAGGGGCTGGGTAAAACAAGGCTCAGAACTACTGGCAGCATTCCCAGGAGCTTAGGCATTTTTAATCCCTGGATGATAGGAGGTCAGCACAAGATACAGATCATGAAGATTCTGCTGACAAAACAGAATGTGGTAAAAGACAGCCAAAACTCACCAAAACCAAGACGGTGACAAGAGTGACCTCTGGTTGTCCTCAGTGCTCATTATACACTAATTATAATACATTAGCCTGCTAAAAGACTCCAACTGGCAACAAGACTGTTTACAAATACCATGGCAATGTCAGGAAGTTACCCTATACAGTCTAAAAAAAGGAGGAACCCTTGGTTCTGAGAAATGCTCATCTCTTTTCCAGAAAACTCATGAATAATCCACCCTGTGTTTAGCATATGATCAAGAAATAACTATAAGTATACCCAGTTGAGCAGCCCATACTGTGACTCTCCCTATAGAGCAGTCATTCTTTATTCCTTTACTTTCCCAATAAACTTACTTTCACTTTATGGACTTGCCCCCAGTTCTTTCTTGTGTGAGGTCAAGAACCCTTTCCTGGGGTCTAGATTGGGACCCATTCCTGGGAACAGTTCCACATGGATGCAGCTTTCTTTAGGGTAATATTTGCATTACTCAAATGTCATATATATATTATTTTTAATAACTCCTTTCTGTGTTCTTATAGATAAAGTATATCTCTTTTTAAACATTTTTAAATTTTGGAGTCAGGGTCTTGCTATGTTGCTCAGGCTGGTCACAAACTGGTCACAAGCTATCCTCCTAGATCAGCCTCCCAAGTAGCTGGGACTATAGGCGCCATCTGGCTACAGTATGTTTCTTGAAAATGCTTAGCATTAGTTTTATTTTTCATAATCTTGTCCTGTACCAAAATGATTATACTGAAACCGCCTTTGCAAAATTATGCCTGAGACAGTGAGAGAGATCTAAATTAACTGAGTCCATCTTGCTTCTAACCTCCAAACTCCTTGTGCATTCCTGGGAGTAGGCTGAACTAACTTTGGAAGAAACTTACTTTATAGTTTATAGTTTAAAATAAAGACAATAGCCCTGTCCCAAAGCAGACCTCCTTCTTTCCTGGAGACTAGATTGCCTTTGTAGGACTAACATTAGCCTCAAGACTAGACATTATGGTTTGAGAGTCATGCAGCTGGAGGCTACAAGATTCTGATCCTCACTAAACTGCTCCTAGGATCAGTGCTTGAGAGACGTTGCAGATCCTTTTGCATTTGATGAGTCAGCTGGCACCACCTAGACTGATAAACTGGCTCATCTGATCTTGAGGTCCTTACCCAGGAACTGACTTAGCTCAAGAAGACAGCTTTCATTCCCTGTGATTTCATCTCTGACCAATCAGCACTCTTGGTTCACTGGCTTCCCCCCACCCACCATGTTGTCCTTAAAAACTCTGAAGGTGGAATGCTCAGGGAGACTGATTTGAGTAATAATAAAACTGGTCTCCCGCACAGCCAGCTCTGCGTGAAGTAATCTCTTTTTTTTGTTTGTTTCCAGACATCTTCTGAAAGCTGTAATCTTTATTGCAATTCCCGTCTTGAGAAATTGTCTCTGTCTAAGCAGTGGGCAAGTTGAATCCATTGGGAAGTTATAAAATACCATCTATCTTTAAAGTAATTATTTAAATTGTTGGGTTTAAATCTACCATATTTTTATTTATTGTTTTTCCCATCTATTCTCTGTTCCTTTACTACTACTATACCACTTTAATTTGGATTAATAAAGTTTTTGTTTGTTTGTTTTTTGAGAGGAGTCTCACTCTCTTGCCCAGGCTGGAGTGCAGTTGTGCAATCTTGGCTCACTGCAACCTCTGCCTCCCAGGTTCAAGTGATTCTCATGTCTCAGTCTCCCGAGTAGCTCAGATTACAGGCATGCTTCACTTTGCTTGAGTATTTCTAGTAGACATGGGGTCTTACCACGTTGGCCAGGCTTGTCTGGAACTCCTGACCTCAAGTGGTCCACCTGCCTTAGCCTCCCAAAGTGCTGGGATTACAAGCATGAGCCACTGTGCTCAGAGTTGCATTAATACAGTTTTTTATTTCATTTTTCTTCCATGTTGTTTTTAATATCTTTTATTGTTTAGTTGTTAAGCTGGATTGTGGTTACATAATGCATATTTGATTTATTACATTCTACTTTATTATTTTTTGAGACAGAGTCTCACTCTGTTGCCCAGGCTAGAGTGTGGTGATATGACTTCAGCGCACTGCAACCTCCAACTCCCAGGTTCAAGAAATTCTCACGCCTCAGCCTCCTGAGTAGCTGGGATTACAAGCATGTGCCACCACATCTGGCTAATTTTTGCATTTTTAGTAGAGGTGGGGTTTCACCATGTTGGCAGGGTTGATCTTGAACTCTTGACCTCAAGTGATCTGCCCACCTCAACCTCCCAAAGTACTGGGATTACAGATGTGAGCTACTGCGCCTGGCCTATTACATTCTACTTTAATACTTTTGTGATACCCCCAAAATTAAACACTTATGATAGTGTAACTCCATTTACCATTTCTTGCCCTTGTACTATTGTTATTTTACTTTTTCATATATTATAAATTGTATAGGGTTTTTTTTGTTAACTGTCAGTATTAATTTCTATTTATCCACACATTTACCTTTCCTTTACTTTTTAATCTACCCTACAGTTCTCTATAGCCACCAAGGATCATTTGCCTTCATCCTAAAAAATTGTCTGGTGTGTTTCTTAATGGTGTAGTTCTTCTGACAATAAATGTTTTCTTTTTTTTTCTTCTGAAACCATGTTTATTTCATTGTCAATTGTGAAGGATCATTTCACTGAGTATAGATTCTAGGTTGTCAGTAATTTTTCTTTCAGCACTTGAAGATGTCATTCAGTTATCTTCTGACTTTTGGTTGGGTGCTGTGGCTCATGCCTGGTATCCCAGAACCTTGGGAGGCAAGGTGGAAGGATCGCTTGAGCCCAGTAGTTCAAGACCAGCCTGGGCAACAAAGTAAGGCCTTGTATCTACACAAATTTTTTTTTAATTATCTGGGCATGGTGGCATGTGCCTGTGGTCCCTGCTACTCAGGAGGCTGAGGCAGGAGCATCACTTATGCCCAGGTGTTTGAAGTTGCAGTAAGCCATGATTGCACCACTGCACTCCAGGCTGGGTGACAGCAAGATCCCATCTCAAAAAAAAGGAACTGCTTCAGCAGTTATGGAGGCTGGCAATTCCCAAGATCTGCTGGGATCTGAGAGACCCAGGAGAACCAGTAATGTAGTTCCAGTCCAAGTTTGAAG